ATGAACAACTGGAATGCATAAAATAAAAGTTAAATAGAAACACAACGACAGTATTTAGTACTGAAACATTAGTTCAAACTTCAAATTCTTAAAGTTCACCACCAATTACATTAGTGCAACAAATATCAATTTAAATTTCATGACAAATACTCACATCTCACCTCATACAAGTGATACGCGCATTGTGATCACTCAGAGTGGTAAGAGAGACACTTCTGCTAAAACTTTTAGCGATTTCCATCATTTGAATAGAGGAGCCCTAATCAACAGGAAACGAAAAAAAAAATGGAACAACTAGAATCAGTAAACAATCTAAACAAAACAGAAGGCAACCCAGATGAAAAATTCCACATCTAACACTAACAGTACCCGAGACATGAAAATATCATCTCTGTCCAAAAGCATAAGGCCATAAGGCTCTGCTTGGGTGCACATATCAGCAACCAAGGGATCTTCAAACTTGAACTGTTGCAGAGCGGTAAGCCTGGACAAGTACGCGTCCCTGGCTCCTCCTGAAGCTACTGAAGAATCAAGAGGTGGTATTAGATGCTGCCATCGCTCCCTACAGAAACAGAATCACCGTTATAGCTGTTAATTCAGAAGTTCATGGAGGAACAGACGCCTCCGACGAGAAATTGAGTTGGGATTAGAAGCGAAGGGGGAGAACCTGAAAAGGGGTTGCCAGATGGAGTCCGAGTAGGCGACTTGCCGGAGAGATTTGCAGGTCCGGGCTACATTGGAGATGTCCTGGAGGTTGAGGAATTCGGCGCAGCGGGCCAGAGAATCTTCATTCAAGTCGGTAATGGTGATCGGAGAATTCTGATTCTGGTCCATCAACGGCGGTGGTGATCGGTTTGCAATTTTCAAAAGCTTAAACGGAAAACCCTGACCCTGCAGTGCAGCAGCGGCTGCGATTTTTTCGGTTATGCGATTGGATTATCTTCCCTCTCGCGCACCGCAAATCTTTCTTTCAAGTTTCAACGCACCCATGTCATTCTTCTTGGGCTCCCTTTGGAATTTTCGGTAGCTCGTAAAAATTTTCTAAGGGATCGCCGAATTGTATGAATTTCC